CCAGGAAGAGTGCAAACGGTCATTGCAAAGACAGAAGAGGAAGAAAAGACCAAAATGGATGTCAGAAGAGACTCTGAAAATTGCACTGGAGCGCATTGAATTATTTAGTAATACTTAGTTTTATAGTAGACAATATTGCAAAGAATGAGAATTTCCAAATACTTCAATTGCACTCAAGCAAAAACTGCATATAGACCAAGAGGCAATCATCTAGACAAAACAAACGGATACGGTGCTAAAGACAGATGTATGTCAGGGCTGTATCCCTGCACCATACTGAACACATGAAAAAACCCTGTTTGCCGACAATGAACAAGACTTGGAGTACTTACTGACGAAGACAAAGATTACAACTTTCAGTATAGATTACGTCTCAACATCAAGAAATAAAAATCCTCACAACTGGACCATTAAACAATCTGATAAATGGAGAAAAGATTAAAGTTGTTAAGGATTTAATTTAACTTGGACCCACAATCAACACCAATGGAAGCTGCAGTCAACAAATTAAAACACATCCTGGAAAATTTGCTATAAAAGCTCTCTTTACAATGATAGAAAGCAAAGATGTTACTTTGAGGAATAAGATGCCCTGACTCACATAATGGTATTTTCAATTCTTTCATATCTAAGTGAAAGCTGAACAATGAATAATGAAGACCAAAGAAAAACAGATGCATTTGAATTATGATGTTGGCAAGCAATACTGAATATACTATAGACTGCCAAAGAATAAATTTGTCTTCAAAGAAGTATATGGAGACTGCTTCTTAGTCACCAGGAAGGCAAGATTTCATCTCATGTACTGAGGACATATTATCAGGAAGGATTAGTCTCTGGGAAATGTGTCCTATTTATTAAAGCAGTGGGTCAGTGATCAAAAGGAATACACTTCAATGAAATGTACTAATGCAATGACTTTTACAATGGGTTTAAAATAAGCAATAACTGAAAGGTTGATGCAGGAATACACAGTGTTTCATTCTGCTGTCTACAGAGTTGCTATGAGCTGGAGTCAACACAGTGGCACTGTAAGTACAATAAAATGCTGTGAACAATTCCTTTTCTTCCTCAGGGTAAATTGAAGAACAGATATTACAACATTAGTACTGGTGGCTACTGGATAGAGTTGCACTGCTAACTCAAAGGACGGCAGTTCAAATCCACCAGTTGCTCCCTGGGAAAAAGATGAGCAATCTCCTCCTGCTGACTTATAGATAAAGCCTTGAAAATCTCACTAGAGGATCAGCTCTAAGTCCATTCCAACCTGATGTCAATGATTTTAGCAGTAACAAAAGTAATTTTTGTTTACTCACCTAACCTTAGAGAGTTAACTAAAGACCCTTTCTTTTAAAAAAACAGAATAAAAATTAACTCCTCACTGATAAATTTTATTTTTTATTGTGACTGCAACAAAAGAAGAGGGCAAAGAAAAAGATTAAAAGAGTAGGAAAAAAGAGGTGAAGAAAGAAGGGAAGGAAGGAAAGAGGAAGAAGGCAGGCAGAAAAACTGATTAATGATTCAAAATATTAAGATAACCATATGATTCTTTCAAAGAATCATCATGGAATAAATTTATCAGACATAATGTGAAAAACTCCATTATTAAAACTACAGCTGCTGTGTATTTTAATGAAATAAAGAATACAATTAAAAAATTCTTCCAAGGCATTGGTATGGACAATGAGAAATGAATTAAGATGTGTCATTAAAGTGCAAAAGTTATATGGACAGTGAAATCTGTTACAGTGAGCATTTGCCAGCAAACGTGACCATAAAAAATTACCTTTATCACTTAAAGACATTACCCTTTAAGATCAAGAAGCTTTACATCCATTCATTCTCCAAGTAAAAATAGTGGTAATAGCCTAATTAACCTTTATCCCTTTGAAGTTCATCCTTGGAGACAGCATCAGCACAGATATCAAAGAACTTCTGTAGAGTGTCAACTTGTCTACATAAGATGTCTCTAAAAGTTTCCATTTCAGCCAATTTTTCACGTAAACTGTGGCCTTTCTACAAAACACAAAACAGGGAGGGAAGATTGAAAGGAGGATGAAACACAAGTAAAAAAAATTATATTTATTCATTATTTGGTCCTTTCAATGTTTGTACCTAACTACTGGAGGTATAAGGTAACTGAAGCTCATATAAATAAAGTTCATTGTGGTATTATTGGGAATAGACTTAAACATAATAATGTAAAGGCTTAGTAATGATAAACTTGAAACAAACAAGAAAACACAAACTCTTGACATTTTTCTAATATGAAAGTCAATATTTCCAGAAGAAAACTGTCAGAAAAAAAACATTTCTATTGACCTTTTAAAGAAATGGTGAATGACTGCTAAGGGTACATGTTATCCAGAAGTCTCTGCTTTTATGGCAACTGAGCTATTTTAAAGTTCTTTTTTTCTAAAAAAGGGAAATAAGTGTTGCCCAGCCGATATGTTATTCTGTGAATGATTTAACATACTTAATTTTATGTTCTTCATTGTTTTCTTTGAACTACTTTTCTTCTTTACATCTAATATTGTTAATGGAGGAAATCTTTGAAATATGGTTATCTGATTTATGTGAGTGGATTTTATCTCTTCAATAAAATATTACTCTACAAAAATCTCAAATAAATCATACTGCAGAGAAGTTATTTCAAAACCACAGCCAAATAAATCTGGTTCACAACATCCAAAACTAAACTAAATGTATGTTGTCTTTATTAATCACACTGCAAACCTTGAATGAAGAGGTGGATGTTGCAGAATAGCCACTTGCTCCAGACACCAGTGACACCATTGAGCCATGTCGGCGAAGGCTGGATTCAGAGCCATATCCAGATTCAGTCTGAAAAGAAAGCAAACTATGTAACACATTTTTAGAAACACATAAAAAACATTTCTTTGCACTAATAAGGTTATTATACAAATACTTAAGTTTAAACTCAAAACTGCTGAATCAATTCTGACTGATAGACACCCTCCAATGGTTTCCAAGGCTGTAAATCACAATGCGAAGAATGCTCATCTTTCTCCCAAGGAGCTGACGGTGGACTGAAACAAGCCTTTGGGGTTGCAGCTTTTGATTTATCAGTGCAGCAATCACCTACAGGGCAACTGAGCCTTTCATTTAAGCATTTGTTGTGTACTGTTAAGTTGGGACCAACCCACAGCTGACTCTCCAGCATGTTTCAGAAGCAGTAAATCAATCACATTGCCTATCTTTCTCCTGTTGAGCAGCTGGTGTCTTTGATCATGAGCCTTTGGGAGGGCAGCGAAGATCCCTACCCATTAAGCCACCAGAGCTCCAACTTAATGGCAATTTAATTTTGAAATTTACTGAATACCTATGACACACTGGGCTGTTGTTCTTAGGTGTCACGGAATCAGTTGTGACTCATAAGGCCTTTATGTACAATTGAATAGAATACTCCTCAATCCTACACAATCCTTACAATTGTTGTTATGTCTGAGTCCATTGCTGCAACCACTATCAGTCCATTTCCCTAAAAGCCATCTCACTCTTAAATGCTGACCCTCTAACTTTACCAAGCATGATGTACTTCTCCACTAACTGTTCCTGCCTGGTAATGAGTACAGAGTACATGAGACAAAATTTCACCGTTATTTTCCTTGGACGAAATGCTCCTTAGAGGAGCATTCTGACTGCACCTCTTCCAAGACAGATGGCAGTCCATCATATGTATGTTTAATATTCTTCACCAACAGTATAATTTGAAAATTAGTGATCTTTCTTTGGTTTCCTTATTCACCATCTATCTTTTACAGGGCTATTGGTGAGTGGTTAACACCACAACTTGGGTCAGATGCACCTTAGTATTTAAAGTGACATTTCGGGGTTTTGTTTTTCTTTTTTAAATTTTTGTTGTACTATCAAATTGGATCTGGCTGGTACAGAAGGAGATTGTCCCTCCTTCTCCAGTAGAGCATCTGGTGGATTTGAACCGTTTATCTCAGGAATTGCAGTGCAGCTTCTTGCCACTAGGCCACCAGAGCTCCCTGAAATCTTTGTTTTTTAACACTTGATTTCTTGACTGTTGTTCCCATGGGCACTAACTGTGAATCTAAGTAAAATGAGTCTTCAATATTTTCATTTACCTTATACTGTTAATTGGTTCAGTTATGAGGCTTTTTTTTTTAAAAAAAAGGTATAAATTATACTGAAGGCTATTGTTGGTGATCTTCATCAAAGATGAAGTATTTCAAGTCAGCAAGCAAGGTTGTGCCTTTGAGTTATGGTGTTAGTGAAAAATGTGATCATGGACTCCTAGGATAACCGACAACTGTATCCTGGAAGATATATAATAAGAGTAATCCTCAGAAGCAGATTTTCTGCTATTCGAGACCTCTTCAGAGTGTTAAAGAAGACTGACAATGATGTCAATCTAGAGATGAAGATACACCTGATCCAGGCCATGGTCTTTGCAATTACTTGCTACTCCTCAGAGAGCTGGATAGTGACTAAGGGTGACAGAAGAAGAACCGATGCCTTTGAGTTGTGGTGTTGGAGAAGAGTACTGAACACACCTAGGACCGCCAAGTCTTGGAGAGGGTGAAAGCAGGCAAAGATTTTAAAGCTCTGTTTCATATACTTTGAGCATGTGGCCAGGAGGGACCAGTCCTTGAAGAAGGACATCATGCGTGGAAGGGTGAAGGGACAGTGCAGGAGAGGAAGACTCCAGATGGGATGGATTGACACAGTGTAATAGGAACAGATGTGTCAGAGACAGTGAGACTGGCTCAAGATAGAGCAACGTTCAGAGCTACTGTGCATAAGGGTTGCTATGAGTTGTGGTCGACTCAATGACACATAACAATAACCCTCAAAAGTGAGGATGGTCACTTTTGACATTATCAGGAGAAACCAGTGCATGAAAAATGTATCATGACTGGTAAAGTAGAGCATCAGCAAAAAAAGATAGGCCCTCAAGGAGATGGACTGACACAGTGAGTCCAACAATGCATCCATACAAAGTAGTGATTTTACGGGTGGCCCAGGACTAAGCAGTGACACCTAACAACAATAGCTAACTAAGACAGGGACCAAATTTGATCTTCAGAATGGTAGCATCTGCATCTGCTGGAAGCTTGTTAGAAATGACCACTTATCAAAACCTCTGGGAAACAGCCAAAGAAGTAATCAGAAATGAATTTATAGCAATAAGCAAATACATCAAAAAGCAGGAAAAAATAATCAATGACTCTCTAACTCAACATCTCCAACAAATTGAAAAAGAACAGCAAGAAAACCCAACACTCTTTAAAAAAACTAAAATTACAAAAATTGGACAAAAATAAATGAAATGAAAACAGAAAAACAATTGAAACTATCAACAAAACTAGGAGTTGGTTCTTTGAAAAGGTCCATAAAATTGACAGACCCCTAGCAAAACTCACAAAGGAAAAGACAAAATCTGAATAAAAGATGAAATGAGCAATGTCACAAGAAAACCAACTAAAATAAAAAGGCTAACAATGGAATATTATGAAAAACTATACTCAATGAAAACCTAGAGGAAATGGACAAATACTTAGAGATTCACAACCTACCAAAATGACAAACAGAAATTGAACACCTTAGGAGACCCATTACAATTACAAAAGAAGAAATTGAAAAGGTAATAAAACAACTTCCAGCAAAAAAAAAAAGCCCTGGACCAGATGGTTTTACAAGTAAATTTTATCAAACATTCAGAGAAGAACTGTCACCAATTCTACATAAACTCAGAAAACAGAAAACGATTAAATTCTCCCAGATTCATTCTATGCAGCAAACATATCCTTGACACCAAAGCCAGGTAAAGACACCACCAAAACAGAAAACTATAGGCCAATATCTCTCATGAACATAGATGCAAAAATCCTGAATAAAATCCTGGCCAATAGAATCCAATGACACATCAAAAAAAAAATAATTCACCATGACCAAGTGGGATTCATAACAGTAAACAAGGATGTTTCAACATAAGAAAACCAATCAGTGTACTTCATCACAATAACAAAATAAAGAACAAGAACCACATGATCCTATCAATTGATGCAGAAAAGACCTTTGACAAAATATAACACCTATTCTTGATTAAAACACTCAACAAAACAGGATTAGAGGGGAATTTCCTCAACATAGTAAAAAGTTTATACACAAACCTGAGAGCCAACATTTTTCTCAATGGAGAGAGACTAAAGGTATTTCCTTTGAGAACAGGAACTAGGCAAAGATGCCCAATATCACTTCTCCTATTCATTATTGTATTAGAAGTCTTAGCAGTAGCAGTAAGAGAAGGAAATAAATAGATATCCAAATTGGCAAAGAAGAGGTAAAATTATCTTTCTATGAAGATGATATGATAGTATATTAGAAAACCCTAAAGACTCAGCAAGAAAACTACTGGACATAGTTGACCAATTCAGCAAGGTGGCAGGATACAAAAATCAACTGGATTTCTCTATAGTGAGAAGACAATACAGAGCTGGAGCTAACAATAACAATACTTTTTTACAATAGCTAATCACAAGATTAAATTACTTGGGAATAAATCTAACCAGAAGCACAAAGGATCTATTCAAAGACAATTACAGAACCTTACTACAAGAAACAGAGACCTGGAGAAATAAAGAATATACCTTGCTCATAGTTAAGAAGATTCAATATTGTGAAAATGAAAATACTACCAAAAGCATTTTACATGTTCAATGCAATCCCAAGAGAAATACCAATTCCATTCTTCAACAAGATGGAAAAGGCAATCTCCAGTTTCATCTGGAATGGGAAGAGGCCCCAAAAAAGCAAAGCATTCCTTGAAAAGAGAAACAAGGTAGGCGACATCTCACTCCCTGATTTCAAATCTTACGACACTGCTGTGTTGGTCAAGACAGCGTGGTACTGGTACAAGAGACACAGAGATCAATGGAATAGAATTGAGAACCCAGAAATTAGCCCATACCTATGGACAACTGATTTTTCATGAGGAGATGAAATCAGTTAAGTGGGGAAATGACAGTCTATTAACAAATGATGTTGGCAAAATTGGAAAACCATCTGCAGAAAACTCAAGCAAGATCCACACATCACTTCATACACAAAAACCAACTTAAAGTGGATCAAGGACCTAACCTAGGACTAAAACCAAAGACTACAAACTTCTTTAAAGAAAAACTTGGAACAACTTTAGATGTCTGAATCCACAACAATAACAGTCTTCCAAACATCCTGAAAAACCTACAACCAGGAGAAGATAAAATAGATGGATGGGACCTTCTAAGAATCAAATCCCTATGCATATCCAAAACCTTCCCCAACAGGGTAAAAAGTAAAGACACAGACTGGGAAAAAAATATTTGGTAATGACACGTCTGATAATGGACTTATAATCTACAACTTTTAGAATACTTGAGAACTACAACAAGATAAACAATGCAACTGCAAAATGGGCACAGGATATGAACAGACATTTCACCAAAGAAGACATTCAGATGGCCAACAAACAAATGAAGAAATGTTCAAAATCCCTAGCTCTAAGAGAGATGCAAAGCAAAACAACTATGAGATTAGCAAAATTTGACAGAACAGCAAACAAAGGTTGTGGAGAAATTGGAACCCATATTCACAGCTGGTGGGAGTGTAAAATGGTGCAAACAATAAGGAAGGCTGTATGGTACTTTCTCAAAAAGTTGGAAATATTAAAAAAAAAAGAAATAATAGAGGTGACATCACAAAAGAACTTGATGAAATTAAATTGATAATATTGGAATACTATGAAAAGCTATACTTGGATAAATTTGAACACCTAGAGGAATTGGAAAAGTTCTTTGAAACCCATGCCCATT